TTCAGCATAAACCCGTTTGCTTCCCAGTGAAGTGGGGCTTCACCCACTGTCCAGTGCAGCAATAAGCAGAAGGAGATGGGTCTCTGAAGGAGACGTACAGCTGGGCTGGGAACAAAACATCTTTTTAGAAGCTAGAAAACAAGCAAGAGTACACAGTCATAGGAGGGGAATTAATTTAGATCATTTAATGTTAACATGTAAGACTTCATTACTGAGTGCAAGTTGCACATTTCACAGTTCTACTTCCTCATATAAAATGACACCTGATAGTAAACCAGAAAGAAAAGGAGGAGGTGATCTGACTAAGGATGGAAACATGGTAAGTAGAGAAGTAACCAGACAATTAAGTGGGCTTTTAAATCTTCTTGTTCTCTGAATATAGGCCCTCTTTTCAAGTTTCCTCTGCAAGACACTGACAGCTTGGGAAGTTAATACTACATGTCAGGTAACAGCCCTTCCACAGAGTCCTGACAAGGGTCTTCTTCTTATCAGCACTTCAGCTGGGAACAACAAAGAAGAGACAGATGAGGTTACATGGATTGCGGGAAGAATGCCAATCACAAAGAAAAAGCGGTGATGAAAAAAGTAAATACGGTCTTACTATTTAGGGTTTCCTGAAGAAATGGAGAGACAAGAGAATTGCACCAGGTGCTGAAGGGATCTTTCCTGCTTCTCAGGTTGAAGGGACTATCTCAGGAAGGATGAAATCCAACCAGATGAGGTGCAGAGAAGGACAGAAATGTGCTTGGGGGAAGAGGTAAGAGTGTGGCTTGCTCTGACTAGTGAACTTGGGGTTGAGAGAGGATATGATTGCTCTCTATTGATGTACCAATGGAGTAAAATGCCAAGACGACAGGAGCACTCTTCATGCTAAGGGATGCTCTTGGCAGAATAAGTGGATCGCGCTCGCAGGCTCTCGTCCTCCTGGGGGACTCCAACCACCCCGACATCTGCTGGAAAACCAACACGGCAAGCTGTAGGAAATCCAGCAGGTTTCTCAAATGCATTGAGGACAACTTCTTAAGCCAGGTAATAGACACCCCTACCCGAGGGGATGCGATACTGGACCTGGTGGTCACCAATGCAAGTGAGCTCGTCGGAGATGTCAAGATCGGAGGCAGCCTGGGCTGCAGTGATGATACGCTGGTAGAGCTCAC